CTATTTGTTTCTAGCTCTTGAGAGTGTATATTGTGGGGGGATGTGTATTGCAAACAGAAACCAGAAATATGACTTGTTGACTTGGCCACCAGGCTTTTCCTCCTTCCATAACCTTCCACTTTTTTTGGTATGTGTTTTATTTGTTTGTTTGTTTGTTTTGTTTTTCTCACTAACCATGAAGCAACTCAATTTTTGAAGAATTTTGTCCAGGTTTCCTGAAAAACTGTGCAGACCTGAAACATACATCTGGATTGAGTTGAGACCTTGGAATGAAATGCAAACCACAATAGCTTCTTGTGGTTTCTGGTAGCACTGGTATTAATCTCACCTTGAAGGTATATAGCATACCTCTGTGTCCTCGTGAGGGAGGATCTGCAGCAACACTTCAGACTGTGAGCAGACCACCAGCTGCTCAGCAGCCTCTGCAGTAAGCACAGTTTGAAGTGGGTTGCCCCAGATGAAACCGCGAGTGATTCAGCTCCTGAGAGTGCCATAAATGCTTCTTTAGCAGTATTTAACACTGTGCATTGAATACGTGGTTCCAAAAGTGAGAGAGAAAATCTAGAACAAGATGGAAATTCCAGATTCTTTAGCTAGCTGCTCTAAAAAAAAATCTGTTAATATAATTTTGCTTTGTTTGGTGCTGTGACTTCAGAAATCTTGCTTCCCATACAGTTTATTTTCTTGCTCCCAGGCTTAGAGTTTGGGCCTTATATGGAAAACATTTCTTCTATTTCTGTCTGCGCTAGAATAGCACAGGCTTAATCTACAAGTCTGATCCAATGACTCTTGCATTCCTTCATTATTGCATGGAAAATAAAGCATATGGTTTTAATTAAACAAAAAAAAATTAAATTGTAATTAAAAAATCCAGCTAACAAAATGCATAAATAAATTCAAAATTTGAAAGTGAGGGAAAGTACTTGTATAGTGTCTTGTGTTCATGGGCTATGTGTTCAGGTTATCTCCAGAGGGAAAAATAAGATATTAGGTTTGTAACATGCATTGGAAGGACTCAACGAAAGCCTAACTGTACTCTGAAATACAAGATTCATAGCCCAGCAGCTTCCAGAAAAGAGGTACATGTAGAATATACTGAGGAACAGTTCAAATCAGCTTTTTGACCTTAATTGTGGAATGGGATCATTCACCCTTTGGTGGGACCCTTGCTGCAGTAGGAACCTCATGAACCGTATTTTAGATGGCTCATTTAGGCGTGATGAATGGTACTATACATATTCGTAGACTTGGACCAAATATGTTCTAACCCTGCTTCTCAATTTCCTACTTTCTAGATCACTAATCCTCCACATATGAAGTAGAGATCTTTGAAATATAAAATAATTGGCATACGGTACCAAATAATCTGGTACCATAAATAAACTATAAGACTTTTTTATTTTTTTTATTTTATTTTTATTAGATATAATAGTAAAGCCTCAAGATAAATTCAAAATGTTGGGCTGAAAATTCTGCTATACCTCCCTTATTTGTTATGATGGAGGGAAAACTCACCTGAACGTGTAACAAACTTGATCTCTAGTGAGCATTTGAAGACATGGATCTGTGTCACATCTGCCAAAATCATATGCCCAGGTACCAAGGGGCACTTGCCTGTGCAAACTGTGCAATTTGGCATGCAATATGCCACTTCAGAGACAATAAACGCCAGTCTCTGTTCACATACCAGAGATATCTCTTTCTCCTCAGGTAGTAATTTTAGAAAGCAAAGTAAATATTCTTTGTCTGCAACAGTATTCTGGCTTAATAACTGTACATCAGCTCATAAAGAAAAAATAAAATAACTCTGGGATGAAAATCGAGACTTTCAGGACAGCTTTAATTCAATCACTTCATCTTCCTCATGTTTTTTTCAAATGAAGATCTGAGTTAGAATGTTATTTTATTATCCTTTCACTGTATGTATGTATGATCTATCCTGTTCTTTCTCATGCTACAAGGAGATCTCAGATGAGGAGATGTGGGGTTATGTTAGCCACCAGCAGGCCAAGAGCAAGCCTCTGCTCATCTGGCAGCAAAAAGGTGTGAGGAGCTCTGCTGAGCTCCTGAATGTGCAGGGAGCATGCAGCAGGATAACAGCAACGATGTGGTGGCTGGAATTCATAACTTAAAAGGGCTGCACTAGTTTATTTTTAAAATGCAGACATTTCAGAGCAGACAAAAAGGTGTAATAACACAGCTTCTGATGGAGACCTCCTACTTTCAGAATTACACTAATACTGGGTAGTAGCTTGCCGAAGAAGAAAACATTCCTTATTTTCTTCCATATTCTGCAGCAAATTTGGAAATTAAATAGCTCATTTTTAATGATGAAAAACAGAGGCACAGAAATCTTCTGAGCTGACATATATCACCTATTTCTTTTAAAAATAGAAGTCTCAAAAGGAAAACGTCTCTCACTTTCCCCCAATGCATAGGATTATTTTCTCTAATAGTTTCTAATGTCTTCCCTGACTTACCAGCACAGCTCCGTAAATTAATTATAATATTATAATTCTATTCCATGTGGATTTGGATTCTCCATGTAAAAAAATAACTTTTTTTAAATCTATATTCTCCCCCTCCACAAGCTCTGACTTTTTCTCATCTTTAAAGAAAAATAATAAAAATCTAGTTTTCCATTTAAAAATTGGCCTCACAAAGCATCAGTTGTACAGGTGAGAAGCACAGTGAGAAACCATGTTGAGTAGTAAAACAGATGTATACATTGTGCCCTGGTGTCTAGGAGGGCTTCCTGCTCCTTGGGCTATCCCTGGTTTGGCTGGTAGGGCTGTGCCCAGGCACAACCACCCTGCTCCTTCCATGGGCAGAACGACCCCACTGCCTCGTACCAGCTTCTGCTCTGCCCAGGGTGACCACAAAAGCTGGTCAATAGTCATACAGCTCTGGTACTGCTTACTGCTCACTTAGCAATGGCCTTTTGGTCTAAAAGAAGAGCAAGGCATGGTCTTAGCATAGGGAGCTGTAACGACTGACTTCTTTTCTAATATTGACCTTTTCTGATCCAGAACAGAGAATGGATTTTTCCTTTAATAATTCCTTTGCCTGCAAAACAGGGATAATTCTTCCACAGGTGGATGAAATTCAAGACTGTTAAGGCATGCTTTTGTATGCAGCAAATGGAAGAGACACTCCTGTGCCCAATGGAAAATTTGGAAGGTGCCTTTGGCCAGTGCCTCCTGGGAAGGTGTGAACTTCTCTCGAAGAAACTCCAGCAGTATGGGATCTTTCACAAGACTGTTGTCTCAGCAGGAACCCTGCTCGCTAGCTGCTGAGACCAGTTCTGTAGCTTCTAACATCAGGTACGACGCTTTAACTACCTGGCAAGTGTATGTTTTATGCTACTGGTAGGATGGGGTGGCATGAAAGGCAAATAAAGCAGAAAAGACTGAGGGCTGCTGAGATTTCGAGCTGGCTGTATGGCTGCACCACTGGCAGTGGAATTGCATTTCTACAGCCACTATGTACTCAGAAGCACTTGGGAGTGTTTCCAAGTATGTAGTAGCTGGAAACAAGGAGTAAAACCTTCTTCAGAAGCCAGAAGCCATTGATTTTAGTCAAAGGATTTCATCCCAAAATGTACAGCCTGCTAGAGAAGATTTCCAGTAGTCATTAAAGGTGCCCTAGAGGTTACCAGAAGTGAAGTGTGAATTAAGAATAACATGGGGTATTGCATCAGGTGAGATAAAACACAGACTCCCTCTGGCTGAAGTTATGATAAGCCTGTCTCCTAGGAAAATAATTCTGTGTATATCTTGCAGGTGCTTGCTTCAACTGAATAAAAGCTTGGAGAGGGATTTCTTTAGAGTTCTACAGATACTTAAGAGCAATAAAATCTAGGGGATGTGAAACGTCTAATGAAAATCTCCAGCTCATGCTCAAAAAAGTCTTTGAAGTAAGAATAGCAGCATTTTATGATTCTGGAGGTGTATAAATTAGTATAAATAGACGTCTTGTAGAATCACAGGGCAGGATGGAGATATATATTTAGAAAGTATATTTAATAGAATATAATAATATACTATGCTACACAAACAAATTCTCTCTTTACTATGTGCTATAAAAACTTGTTCTTTGATGCCTTTAGAAGCAGGAGACACTCATTTAACTCACTGCCTTTCTTGTCCTGCTGAACAGAGAGATGTCTAGCTGCCTCGCAGAGAAAAACTCATCGCTCCTGCCTCCAGTGAAATGGGATTGAAGATCACTGCCAGACTAGGTGGGGGGCAGTAGTTTTGATGATCTGTTTTCTTTAGTCACCTGCTAAGTAGTTTAATTTAAAAATAGTTAAGCATCTCTTGCTGCTATTTTAGTTTGGATTTTGCCTTTTGGAGGAGGAAGGTTAGCTACCAAGATTACAGAACTTTTCCAGCCGTTGCTGCTCTGAAGTCAGGAGTCACTTCTGGTAGCAGGACACTGGGGAACTGGGGAGTGGGCAACAAAGGGAGAGCTTCCCTTCCAGCTTCCTCCTGCTGTGTCCCTCCTCATCATCCTCCTCATCCTCCTGTCTCGTGCCCTGTCCCTGCACAGCTTCCACAGTTTCTCTAAGGGAGGCTGAGTCAGAGAAAGGCACTCAAAGTAGGGATTTATCTTCCCATCAAGGCTGCCTGAGAGGAGATGCTGTTTGACTTGTGGTCCTACAGGAAACTTTCTTTGTGGCAGCTGCTGGTTTTAATGAACCAAGTCAGTACATTGCTTTGATGGCATCTGCTTCTTTTTTGCTCCTCGAGCAAAAGCTGGTAGGCTCAGCCCTGAGCAGCAGACATCCTTTGGATGCAGGCAAGCATAAATTAGGGCCTCTGCATAATCACAGACTGTGAACCTCAGCATTCCTCTGGTATTTTTCTCAGTTTAATATTGATAGTACAGCTGTGGTGTGCTGCTTCTGAGACAGCCCAACTTGGAAAAACATGTTTCTCTGTATTTTTTGCTTGTAGGGAGGCTCTCTGAGAGTATTGGGGCCACATCAGGCCTGAAGGTGAATGCAACAGCTGACCCCACCACACTTTCTGAAGTGGGATCTGCAGCTCTCCTTGGGAGGGGAGTTGTTGGGTTGTGTTTGTGCTTGTGTGACCAATGGAAAGTGGTTGGGGCAGGGATACATGCAGCGTCTTGTGCATGGAGGAATAAGCCTGGAGTACAGATGAGTTAATATATAGCTGGGTATAAGATAGAGCAGATGTGTCCATAACGTCTCACTGAAATCAAACACAATTAGTTCTCAGCTGCATATCTCACTTTTGCATTTATGTCCATGATTCACTCCAAGGACTATAGTTCACCTTTTAATTCCTAGAACCTATTGCTTTCTGCTGTCTCTAGTGTTTTTTTTTGTTTGGTTTTCTTTATTTGTTTTGTTTATTTGTTTGTTTGTTGTTTTCTCTCCCCCTCCCCCCCCCTTTTTTCTGTATGGTTCTGTCTTGTCTATGGCTTTTCTTTTTTTCTTGTACTTTTTTTGAGATTACTACTCCTAAAGGATTTCTTTCTCTCTCTCTCTCTCTCTTTCTACTTTTCCCCTATTTTATTTCACGTGGCTAATCCCATCAATACATTTACTTAGGTATCAACACTAAAGTAACTGCTTCAAAATCTCTTCCCTCAGAGACCTCCTTTCCTCCATCACAGCGTTTGACCCACCCAGTGAAGCAGGTGATCCTTGAGTGTCCCAGTTCCCTGCAGAGCAGAGCCAGCTGTTGTCCCTTGTAAGACATTGCCATGGCTTGCCCCAGGCAGCTTTCCTCCCAAGCAGTCAGCCTCTGCCCGCTTCCCAGCTAAGCCCCACTTGAATCTTTTTGCTGACTCTCAGGGCAGACCTGCAGTCTCTCTGGGAACACATGTGCCCTTCTGTCTCTCGTAATTACTGGATATGTCTAGTCTTTGTTCCAGTGCCCTCACATATGGCTTCATGAGCCGCAATTATCTCATACCATTGTTTCAAAATCCATGGCCAGTTTGTGAGGTACAGCTCCAGACATGCCGTGTCTTAAATGTTAGCTTCGCCACAAGTATGTGGTGTAAGACAGATGCAGTAACCCAGCTGCTTGGTATCAGCTATGTGTTTTCATGCTTCCATGTGAGGAACCATCTCCTTATTTCCACCTTGTCCCTCTATCCTCTTGGTCTTCTCTGAGCTCCGGTAGGATCACAGTTGTTAATCCTACTTGTGGTTTCACTCCTCCTCTTAAAACCCCGAGGACCACACAAACAAGGAGCTCAAAGGCAGCCTGGTCTGCGGTGCAAGAGAGGTGCAGAGGCACTAGGCTCTCCTCCCCATGCAGACAGTGTGACTTTGGGATGTCTTTGGGCTCACCTTCTCCTCTGTAAAATGGGTGTAGTGATAGATAATTTATTTTCAAAGGGTTTTTAAATTTAGAAACATCAAAGGTCAAACTACAGAAGGAGCAGGGATCTCATCAGAAGTGCTAAATTCTGACTAGGGGAGAAAAAGTAATTACTCAAGAGAACAGAGAGTTGGGAACAGCCGTGGTAGGACACACCATGTCCAAGGGCACATTGTGTCTCCCTAGCCAGCTATTTTGTCTCCAACAGCAGCCACAAATGGCTAAGAAAGGAGAAGAATGAGACAAGCAAGTATTGCACTTCCCGCTAATCCACTTTCCACCTCTTATTAGTCAGATGATTTTCTGAACCCATTGTGATTTGTCAAGTGACTTGCAATGGATTTCCTTCCAAGCACTTGACCAGCGTTCCCTTGAACCTTTGAAAACTCTGTTTTATGCATTATTCTGCAAGCAGATCCACAGCTCTGCTGTCCAATATCAAGAAACTCAGGTCTTTTGCTTTGAACCCGTTTACTACCAGCTTCATTTAGTGACTTCTAGTTTGTCTAGCAGATGAGACAGTGAGTCCTGTCCTCCATTTCAATCTCACTCTTGATTTTTTTGTTTGTTTGTTTGTTTGTTTGCTTTGGCCTAAAGATCTCTGCTTTATTTGGGTGTTCCTTGTATGGAAGTTGGTCCAAATCTTTGTTTACTGTTGATGTCTTCAGCTGAAAATTCTTGAATTCAATGGTATGGATGAAACATTACAATAGTGGTACGGTTTCTTTTTGGCAATGGCTGATGAGTGTTGTACTTGTGTATTTATGGAATTGTTTAATCCCCAAACCTTGCTTCTTAATAGGAAATGGTCAGCTCAAGGACCAAAATTTGATGTGTGAAACTATGGTTGGATTTCATGGCATGTTATTGCTTTATCTTTATGCTAAACTTTACCTGCCGTTTCATTTGGTCTCACAAGATCCCTTTACAATTTGTCACAGCCTGCCTTTACTACTTCAGACAACTCTGTGTCATGAGTGACCTTTGTCCCTCACTGCTCATGGCCCTTCTGTGTTATTTATGAGCATTCTGAATGGAACAGACTTCAGTGCAGACCACTGAAATTTCCATCAGTAACTCCACTGAGTGAACTGACCATTTCTTCTGCTCCTTTCAGCCAAGTCTCTGTGCCAGGACTTTCTCCATTCCCTTGGCTTCTTAGGTTCCCCAGAAGTCTGTGGGGAGGTAACTGGATAACCTTTACCAACAGGTTGCTCATTTCAAGAGCTTATAGAGATTGGAAAGGCAGGATTTCCAGACATCATGCCATCTTTTTCCAAGTAGATCATATCTATCGTGGCTTCTTCCATGCAAGTCCCAGAATTTTGGAGACCCTCTGGCCAAGTCCTCTTCCAAGAAGGCTCCTGTATGGGAATTTCCCAGTTTCTGCTACTAGTGACTGTGGGTACCAAGAACTCAGCTACTGTCTCTGCAGTCTTTCCTCCCTGAGCATTGTTTTTAGCCCCAGAGCATCAGATAGCCCTACAGACTTCTGCCAGATATTTTGATCCTGGTGTTTTGAAACAGTGTTCAGAAGTGGTTTTGATTCCTTCAGGAAGTTGTCCTGTTAGGCCTAACTATTTTTTAGCCTAATTATATTTTTACATTTAACTCTCTGGAATGTAGCATTCCCATTTGATTAAAGCTTCTTGGATGATGCTTTCAGAGTGACTAAATTTATCCAGTACAATCACTTTTCTGCTCTTGCTTCTTCTCTGTTTTTTCTCAGCATCCTGCAGTCAGTGCTTCCATCCCTGTAAGATAGACAATAATACTGACCCAATATCGCACTATGCCTTTTTAGACATGAAAAATATATATTTAACTACAATTAAATATATATTTGAATAGCCTTCAACAAGGTTTCTGAGAACAGTGTGGCTGGTGCCAAGGTCTTGGGTATTAAACTCTGCTTATTACAATTAAATTCATAGTCTATTTTTTTTGATGCTCTGATTTTCTATAAATGTTCTTGCTGGAAAATGGAGAAAGATACATTTATAATAGTCTCTTGACGCTGTTATTCTTTTAGATCAGCAGGGTTCGTCAACATAAAAATATTTCAGTCCTCTTTCCTGGTCAGACACGCCTCAAAAATTATACACTTTCAACATAAAGCATAATTGCGTATGTAGAACTAATGCTCGTTTTGCTTTATAACATGCTTCTCAAAGCCTGTGGTCTCCTGTCATCTTTACCCTCTCCCCTACTCCCTTGCAAATGTTTTGAAAAAGAAAGAACCTTGCAAGCCTGGAAGTGCAGCACTTGACTGCCCGCACAGTTTTTAGGGCAGTCCCTGCCCCCATTTCAGCCACGATGCTGTAGGGCTGCTCTGCATCCCTGCTCCAATGCTGAGAGGATGGGAGTTCACAGACATCCTGGGCATGCAAGCATCCTGGCCACCCCTCCTGCTCTGCTGCACACAGGCTACATATGGGTTGGGGACGGGGGGCCCCCAGCTAAATTAAAATCAAAAGGAATATGAGAAAGAAAGTGAAGGAGCGAGCATCAAACACGCACCTCCTCTTCCATCATCTCCTCCCGTTGTTGCTGTAATCCCCAATACAAGCTGGCTGGAAATGCAGAGAGCCTTTCACGAGATTATCTGTATCAGTGCAGGCTTTGAAGTACAGGCTGCCGGCGTCTCATTACTGACAGAGATCAAAACCAAGAGATTAACGTGGTCCTGGGCCTGCTGGACTTCATTCACACATCACAGAAGTGCTAAGCTATCAAAGCGGAGGGCAGTGCTTGTGAGTTACCTTCCCAGCCATAAATCCAGCAGCACACACCCATTGCCATTTATTTTTTTAAACAAACGAGTCCTATCGGTCTCTAAGGTACTTTTTTTTTTTTTTCCTTTTCTCTTTTCATGGGGCTAAATGTGGTTTGGGAGATTGAAATAGTCTAAGCTAAAAGATAAATGGGTATAATATGTTTGGAATATTTGGGCCAGATGCTGTCTGTGTCTTTTTTGGGGGTAAAGCAAACAGAAAGCCATTGTAAACCACAGGCTTGCCCACTGATGGGAAATCCCAGGGTGTAAAGGGCCATCCTGGTGCCATTTTCTGCTCTCTTCTGGCACTCTTAGATGTGCAGGAAACATGTCAGCCAGCAGGGACACAAAGCCCATGGATACTGGTTTAAATTAAGCTTAGGGCCACCATGTCCCACTCCAGCCTATTAGGTCCCTCAGGGAGCAGATGTTGGCAGTACAGATGGTTTAGCTTCCACCCCAAACTCAGCAGAAGATTGGAGCCGACTACAAAGCCTTTCTAGTTCCTGTCCCACAGACATAATCAGGACATGGCTATGCTGTGGGTGCCAGAGCTCAAAGGCTCATGTACACCACCTCTCCCATCACAACAGAAGTAGCTTTGAGTTCACAGAGATCAGAAACCCAGGCACTTACCCTGTTTCTGGGGTAATTTTTGGAAATCATACTTAGCCTTCTACTGTCATCACCAAGAATCAAGCTTAAAATGAGTTGGGAAACACAACACTAGAGTTCAGAGACAGTTTTATTAATGAAATTCTGTGCCCCCAAACACTGGCAGAGATGAATGCTTCCTGGGATGGAAGTTTTCCAGCTGGATCCACGAGTGCCCTTTGCTGAAGGACCCGTGACAAGGATCTGAGTGGATCATGCATACAGGTACAAGCCTATGGGGCCTGATGGCACGCATCCCAGGCTCCTGAGGGAGCTGCCTGGCAGAGTTGCCAAGCCTCTCTCCATCATATTTGTAAAGTCCTGGCAGTCAGGCAAAGCCCCTGGTGACTGGAAAAATGTAAACATTTTTTAAAAGGGTAAAAAAGAATACCTGGGGAACTACAGACCAGTGAGTCCCACCCCTCTGCCTGGGGAGATCACAAAACAGACCCTCCTGGAAGCAATGTCAAAGCACATGCAGGACAAGGAGGTGATGTGAGACAGCCAGCACAGCTTCACAAATCCTGCCTGACCAGCCTGGTGCCCTGCTATGGTGGAGTGACTGCATCAATTGACAAGGGAAAACAACCAGTGTCACTTACCTGGACTTCTGTAACACTTCTGACATGGTCCCACGTGACGTCTTGGTCTCTAAATTGGAGCTAGATGGATTTGAAGCGGATAATATTCTGTAGATTAGGAATTGTCTGAATGGCTGTAGCCAGGGAGCTGCAGTCAATGGCTCTATGGCCAGGTGGGGGCCGGTGGTGAGTGATGTCCCTCAGGGACCTGTATTGGGACCGGTGCTGTTTAATACTTTTATTAATGACACAAACATTGAGATGTAGTGCACACTCAGCAAGTCTGCAGATGACACCAGGCTGAGTGGTGCAGTCAATACAACAGAAGGAGGGGATGTCATCCAAAGGGACCTAGAAAAGCTTGAGAGGTGGGCCCATGTGAACCTAATGAGGTTCAACAAGGCCAAGTGCAACGTGATGCACCTGGGTTGGGTCAATCCCAGACATGAGGACAGACTGTGAGAAGAACTAATTGAGAGCAGCCCTGCAGAGAAGGACTTGGGGGTTCTGGTGAACAAAAAGCTCGACATGAGCTGGCAGTGCTGCTTGCAGCCCAGAAGGGCAACTGAATCCTGGGCTGCATCAATGGAGGGGTGGGCAGCAGGGGAGGGAGGTGGTTGTGCCCCTCTGCTCCTCCCTTGTGAGGCCCCACTTGGAGTCCTGCAATCAGGTGTGGGGTCCCCAGCACAAGAAGGATTTGGAGCTGTTAGAGTGGGTTCAGAGGAGGGCCATGAAGATGATCAGAGAGCTGGAGCACCTCTCCTGTGAAGAAAGGCTGGTAGTGCTGTAGATGTTCAGTATGGAGAAAGCTCTGGTGAGACCTCACTGCAGCTTTTTAGTGCTCAAAGAGGGCTTATAAAAAGGATGGAGAGTGACAATGTGGTCAGATAGTGATAGTTATGATAAAGGCAATGGTTTTCAACTAAAAGAGGGTAGATTTGGATTAAATGTTAGGAAGAAATTCTTCACTCAGAGGGTGGTGAGGCACTGGCCCAGGCTGCCCAGAGAAGCTGTGGATGCCTCATCCCTGGAGGTGTTCAAGGCCAGGTTGGATGGGGCTTTCGGCAACCTGGTCTGGTGGGAGATGTCCCTGCCTATGGCAGGGAGATTGGAACTGGATGGTCTTTAAAGCCCCTTCCAACCCAAACCATTCGATGATGATGATGGGAAGGTTTGCTGAATTGTAAGGTACAGTTCCCCATATGCCTAGCAGAAGCATTAATGCCATATAATATCAAGATCTTCCGACCCAAGAACTTTTACATAATGCTTCAGAGAGGGTTCAGAAGCTGAGCTCCTGGGCTGTGCATTGATGAAGGTGCACTCTGCCCTTGCTGTTGTCCTGGGCTCACCCCAGAGACATCAGCAAGGTGCTCAAGATGTATTATGGTATGGTTTCAAAAGGTTCTCTTGTCACCTTGGCCAGTAAAGCTATTTGACTTTGCACCAAACACCCTGGAGCAAGGCTTGGTTCCTGTGAGAATGAGTCTCTCAGCAACTACTAGTCTCTTACTGATTCCATAGATACAGTGGGAGAGGTCCACCTGAAAGGTGAGGAGCAGACCCAACCTCCCACTCCAGTGCCTTTTCTCTTACTGGGGCAGTCCTTGTGTTAGGCCACCTTTACAAAGAACAAGGACTTGAACATGTCCTCTTCTTGGCCAAAGAATGAGTCAGATGGTTAGGTTTTGTGGAGCTAGTCAGAAAAAAAAAGAAGAAGGAGGAGAAGGAGATCTACCTGCTATGCTATTGCATGGGACTACACACAGTCTTGAAGACACGAATTTCAGGAACTCATGTAGATGCACCAGTGCCCTAACAAGATGAGCTAACATTGCCTTGTACCTCAGCAGTATGAAGTATGGCCACCAGCCTCTACTTTGCAACTGGTCCATATCCAGCTGGCCTGTGTGTGTAAGCAAGGTCTGCAATGGCCTGTGGACATCCCTAGTTGGGTGCATCTTTCCTCAGGCACCCTTGACATGATTCTCTTGTCCTTTCATCTTCTGACATGAAGGATGATGTTTTAAAACATACATGTGACTTAACAGAATTTTGACCAGAAAACACAGAGACAGTAAACAAACTGAATTCTTGAGGTGCTCCAGTCTGCTTCTTTCCTTAATAGCTGAAAACAAAACTCATCACTCATCTCCCTGTTTCCTGGGGGGAAAGGGAAGAAAAACAAACAAACAAACACGACTTCACTTTCTACACAAATGAAAATCCTGCCGTGGTTTATTTTGCAGCTTGTTGTGGAAGTTTCAAAGGCATTTTGAAGGATCGTGTTGTACACCTGGTTGTGCAAGCTATTATAACTATTATAGTCTTTCTCTGGACCATTTATCAGCCTCCCGATAGCACACTCAGAAGGACTATGCAGGAGAAGGAACAGGGATGACTGCTGTTGCCTCCTAAAACTTCCTTACATTTTAGTTCCAGTTATGCCATAACTGCTGGCATCACAGTAATTTCTGTTGTTGAGGGGAGCCTGTGGAAGGGGTGATGGGGAGCACAAATGCTGGAGACTGCTTACTGGTAGGAAAGAACGAAGGACAGAGAATAGAGGGGAAATGAAGTAAAACAGGAAGACATACTATTTGTAGACATTTAAGCATAGCTTAACAACAAATTCTTTGTGGCAGACTGGAAAGTTTCCAAAAGTATCTATTTTATCTCTTTTTATTGTTTGAATTTTGTAAAAAGGCTCAGTGACTTCTCTTTTGGCCACAGAAACCTGGGCCCATCCTGCCATGATACCTGGACTCTTCAGAGCATCTTCTCCCATGAAGTTCCTGGAAAGGACAAAGGTATTATTTGCAGGTTCCTGGTGGGAGACAGAGGCACAGCAAGGTCTAGAGGCTTGTCTTCGGTTATGCACTGATCTAACTACAGGCCTGTAACTCCGTGGGTAGGCCCTTATGCTTCAGGATAGGAGCACACAGACGAGAAGGGATAGCAATATAGCCAGAGCATTAGCAGCACCCTGATGACTTACACAAGGAGCCTGTGGAGTAGCAGGGACTTCAAGCAGTTTCGAATAGCCCAGGATCATGATCTAACCACTGGAGAACACTTCTGTGCAATATTTGCATCTGCTCCATGTTGTGTAGAGATATCTGACTTATTTCACACGCTGTAGCCACAGGCTCAGCCTTGGGATTTCCTCTCCAAAGGGGCAACCCAAGTTCTTTGTTCCCTCCTGGCTCTGCTCCACTGAAGGGGAGGACATCACCCAGGCTCAGAGCAGATATGCTTGCTTGGAGGGGAACCGTGATGTTCCAAAGTAGAGCTGACATTTAAAGTGGAACAAGAGCTAGAAATCTCTCAAGATATCAGTGATCAATGCTACCAAATTCCAGGACAACAGGTAAAGCAGGGGAGGGCATATCCTTTAGGTCTGCGGCTCTCTCACCTCCAACGTTTCTTCCGGCAATGACAAATAGCTTCTTAAAAGTCCTGCCGAGGGAAAGCCAAGCCAAGCCGAGTGCACTTTCAGTATGCAATTAGCATAAATATACTTTGTGCTAAACTGCCCAGAGTTAGAAACAAAGAGCTTGTGAAGGTCCTAATTGTTCCAGAGGGAATACATGTCACGGAGAGAAAGACAAAGGGGAGCCATGTCCAAGAAGACATGAGAGAGAGGCCAAACCAGCAATTGCCTGAATCCAAAACAGCCCCAGAGGCTGTCTCTGAAGACCTGCCAGCAGAGTCAGCACTGGAATTTGCCAGGGACTCAGCCTAAACCCAGCCACAAACCTTGCCACTCTTTGTAAATGGTACGTGTCATTTGGCATTGTGAACCTGCCACACTTACTGTGTGAGTGGCCACAATTCCTGACTTTATTGCTGGAGTCCAGCAGATGAAAGAAGGCAGATCAAGCACATCACCAGAAGCACTACTTTTAAGATGCATCTTTGTAATTGCAAGATTTCTCAGTAACAAAAATGTTTGCTTGGAGCTTTTTTTTCTCCGAGACCATGGTCAGCATAGTGAGTGGCAGTATGTGGCCGTGTAGCGAGGGCACAGGGGAGACCTTCCATCTGAGCAGATGAAGACCAACTGCTAATTCTAAACAGATTTGCTTGCGTTGCCTTTGATCCTCTCCACTTGCATCTCCTGGGATTTGGGCACTGTGCAAGCTGTGGATTTGCACAAGTGCTCCACGGTGCTGGGTCAGGTCTATTGTCTTGAGACTTTCAACATGCCCCAAGCATTCACAGCCAGGATCCTGACAGCCTTCTGTGCCAGGCCCTTTAATATGATGCTGTGGATGGATCCTTTGTCCCCCAACTCAGACTTTTGGACTCCTCTGGATCTAAAGTTTCAAAACTGTTTCTCAGACCAACTCACCACACTTACTCCTGCTCCCTCTCCAGATCAACAAGGTTTATTTAACTTGGAAAAGAGACGATAGTTTTCTTTTTAATTACGAAAGATGCACTGTGCAAAGTACCTCTCCCATGAGCGTGCAAAATCACATTTTGCCATGTTAACAATGCAGTTACAGTCTTGTGATCTGAACAGGAATGCAGCTCACAACTCAGGAGCCATTTGTCTAACCTTCAAACCGATCAACTGTTTTCATCACTTTCCTTTGTCACCGAGGTTTCCTTTATATGTCTGTACCTCTTCCTCTTATCCTAGATGGAATCTTTTACCATGTTGGCATGAACATAAATATTTAGACACAACTGCTGAAGCTTTCAGATGTTTGCTCAGGAATAAATCTTTCTATGAGTCCTTGGTTCAAGATAGAAGAAGCAAGTAATTGCCCATGAAATTCCCTGTGGGTTGGCAAGAGGAAGGGAGACTTTGTATGTGTCAAAGGATGGCTTTGGATAAATGGCCTGCTGGAAGCAGAGCTGTTGCTGAGGGGCAAAAGTGTTCAGTGAAAAGTATTCAGTAAAAGTATTGTGAGATTTTATTTCATTTTCTAACCAGCCTGAGAGCATATGAAAATGGGAAATATCAAAAAAGACTGTTCATACGTTGAGGCTTTCTTCCTGTACCACACTGAATGCAAAGGGAAAATTCTGTCTCTGTGTCAGAAGCACCAGGCAGGTGAAACAGTTCAGTAAGTGCCCAAGCCAAAATCCACTGCAGCAAAGGGGAGCCACGATGGGCTTCTTTTGGGCTCTGGACCAGGCAGACAAACAGCAGCTGTGGCTGCAGCTCCATCACAGTACTATAGCTCATCACATCACCTGTAGCAGGGATCGTTCATGGCTATGTGCAGATTAGGCCATGAGAAATGTGAAGTAATTTGGTTTTGCACCACTTGGCGTTCCGAGGATATGCATGCAGCTCAGCTGATGCTCAGCAAATAAAGGCTGAAGA